TCAGGTAAATAATGTATCCCTCAACCCCGTTTCTCTTACTGAACCACCATATGCACTGTTTCAAGCCTTTTTTTCTTAATGAAAATGCAGATTCTCAGCTCCAGTGAGGACTCTTCAGGAAGAGTTGTTTATGAGGCCAGCACTTGTATCACATCTGTATTATCAAAAGTAGCAAATGCTCTCAAAACTCCAGATTCAGATACAGTTAATACTCCTTTGATGATTGAGACATCAAAGCAGATCCTTGATCGAGCTAAGACATGTGGCTTGATGGAGCAGTTATGCATTTGCTTAGCAACAGCAGGCTCAGGCCTCATTTCTGGTTCTTCTACCATGTTGCGTACTGCTTGTGAAGCTTGTAAGGCAATCTGGTCACTGATAGATGGAGTGGAAGCTCTTTTCATGAAATCAAATCCCCCGTTATTTCCTGTAACTGCTTTTCGAAGTTGTTCAATGCGCCGGCTTCAGATTCAGGACCGTGAAAGAGTCTCATTGGTGGGAACAGATTCGACAAGAATGATTGATGCATTTATTAGAGCTTTCTTGAGATCAAAAGCTGTTCAGGTAGCTGTCTCCTACTGTCTACGTCAACGTATGGAGACTTCACTTCAGGCTACAATACAGGTGCTTCCTTATGATTTTGTAGTTATTGTTCATATCATAGTTTAATGGTGAATTATATTATATTACCCCTTATAGAGATGATGTAAGCTCCACTAATGACTATTTCAGATCCTTTCAAGATGCTGCCTGCAAAGTGCAATTATTCCTGGCGTTCTTTGTGGCTTACCCACTTCGCTTCCTTCTACTACTGTTGTAAGTGGTGGAGGAGATGGAAGTATAGTTTCTGAAATATTCTCCGTTTTGTCATTGTGTGCTTCGTTGCTAAGCAAAGACCCTCAAGCAGGCGAAACAGCAAAGACCAAGTTCGCAAATCCTTCCCTTCTAGCGATGCATTCATGCCTCCTGCTTGCTATTATTGCTCAGTGTTTCAAATCATCTGGAAGAAATTCTGCATTGTTTGTGCTGACCACTTCCATGAAAAAACAGCAAGCCAGACTTTCAGTTCTTGCCCATCATTTTTCTCCTGATGATGGGAAGGCTTCGCTGCATCCACATTCTGCATCAGCCATGTTGGCTCTTTCTTGTATTCTATCCCTTGAGTGTGGTACTGCTGTAGAGTCTTCAATCTCTGAAGTAGCAGTTCCTTTGATTCCTCGAACTGCCACTCTCTGTGAACAGCTTAAGGTATTGGATGGAAATGGAACAACTAAGCCTCATAATTCCAGTGGTGCTCTATCATGTTGGCATGGTCTTCGGGATGGATGTGTTGGCTTGTTAGAATCAAGACTGAAGTGGGGAGGGCCACTAGCTGTACAGCAGCTATGTGCAAGTGGCATTCCTCTTCTTCTAATTGAGTTGTTAAACCACAACCATCAAATTGCCTCTGCTCAAGAAACTGCCAGCAGTGAATATCAGGTTGGGCTCTCCCCTGCAGGGGTTGTGTGGACAGTTTCCTCGATTGGCCATTGCCTTTCCGGTGGAGCTCTGGTCTACCGTCAGATTTTACTAAGGCTTGAACACATCAAGCTAGTCAGTGACCTGATATCTGAAGTTCACCTCAAGCTTGTTAAAGCGTGGGGTGGCCCAGGTGGCGGAAAGGATGGAGTGAGAGATCTGATAAACTCAGCAATTGATCTGCTAGCTTTCCCTTTTGTTGCTATTCAGAATGCTCCTGGTCTGCCTGCTTCCAATGCATCTATAAACAGCGGCTTCCTTCTCAACACGGGTTCACCTGGGGGTAAAATATGCATTGAAGATAGGGCCATTGTGAAAGCAATAGAAGAAGATTTAGGGAAGTTTGCAAAAATCCTATTGGAGGTAAGATCTTGTTTTCTTTCTTTGCAAACTCAATTTTACTTTTGGCTTGTTACATGAAACTATCATGTTTTTCATACCTGACTAAGGGTTTAGCGTAGAGTTAGCTAACCTCATTATCAAGATCTTCAGCATCATTTTGGCTTTAAAGACTCAGATGTCTGCTATCCACTGTGAAATTATGTTTCTGATTCTCAGTATCAAGCCTTAGGTGGGAGTACCTAGCATTATTCTTCAGTGCCTGGAGCATGTAGAAACTAAAGATTTGGGTAGGCCCGTTGCATTCCTTGCAAAGATGGCTGGGCACAAGCCTTTGGCAATTCACCTTGTGGGCAAAGGCTTGTTGGATCCTAGTAGAGTTCGAAGGCTGCTTGATAGTTCATCCCCAAGGGAGGTTACACTGGATATCCTTATGATCATCTCCGACTTAGCTCGGATGGACAAGGTAGCTCCTACTACCCTGTGTTACCATTGCTCTTCAGAAATGGCTTATATACTCTGATTGCAAACCATAATATCTTATACCAGTAGAATCAATTATGAAATGGTTAAACACCTTGCTTACTCGTCCTCAAGTTTGCTAGAAAATTATAATTGTGCAATCCGTGAGTTCATTATCTTGATTGAATATTCTCTGTTTGCAGGGATTCTATGAACACATCAACCGCGCTTCTGTTCTAGAGATCTTGAAGGACTTCCTGATACATGAAGACCCTAACATCCGGGCAAAAACTTGCAGTGCTCTTGGCAACATGTGCCGTCATAGTGCCTACTTCTACACTTTGCTAGTATGTAAACAAACAAATTGCACTCCAATTTTAAAATGTGGTAGTTGTGCATTTATTCACTTTTTTTGTTATCACTTTGCAGCAAAGGCATCGCATAATTGGTCGCCTAATTGATCGCTGTGCAGACCCAGATAGACGTACCAGAAAATTTGCGTGTTTTGCTGTAAGCTTTCTGTTTGAACTGTTTTTATTTATTTAGATTTTTTTTTTTTTTGTTCAATTACGTTCTTATTTATTTAGTATTGTCCTCCCCAGATTGGAAATGCAGCGTACTATAACGAGATGTTATACGATGAGCTCAGAAGATCAATCCCTCAGCTAGCGAACTTGCTGCTGTCATCTGAGGAAGACAAGACGAAAGCCAATGCTGCTGGTGCATTGAGCAATCTCGTTCGCAACTCCAGTAAACTCTGCGACGAAATTGTCTCCAATGGAGCTATGCAGGTTTGTCATGCAAACTATATGCACCAGAATTGATCACATATGCTTTCCATGCAAATGGAGGACATGTTTTTATGCACCCTAAGATAAATTATTGTGCAACTAGAGAAATTATTCATGGACAGATGATTCTATTTTAATGCAGGCTTTGCTGAAGCTGGTGGCTGACTGTTCCACGATAGCCCTGAACCCAAGCAGGAAAGATGGGTTGAACGAATCTCCCCTGAAGATAGCTCTTTTTTCACTGGCGAAGATGTGTGCACACACGCGTTGCAGGGAGTTCCTCCGGTCATCAGAGTTATTTCCTGTGATAGGGCAGCTGAGGCAGTCCCCGGAATCCACCATCGCCAACTATGCTACCCTCATTATCAGTAAAGTCGGCGGAACTTGAAATGGAATTGGGTGTTAGTTACAGGTTAAACATCCTCATTAGCTTTTCCAGTTCCAGAGATGTGCTGATGAGAGTGGTGGTTTTGCTGCTAGTTCATTGAACTCACAGCTGATAGTGCAAATAAGGATTGAGCGACCTTTTATATGAAAGTTTAAATATTTTATGTGTGTTTCATGTTCCAAAATTGATGTGGATTGGAGCATGTGATTTCCTGACATTCTGAAAGTGAGCAATTTGCAGTTGATCAAGCAACTTATGCAGCCACGAAATGACCAATTGGAAATCATCTCTAACGAGTCCTTTCTGTACAAAGTTACATCATGTGGTTGTGTGTAAAATTGTGTTTCAAACTGTCAGGAAGAGGTGTGTTGTTAGCAGCGCTACCATTCTCATCTGTTCATCGATAATGGTCGAAGCAAATGCCCTGGAAGCTTCTAACAGCAAACCAGGTATGTTCTCCTATTTGATGCACATGTTGCTTGGTCTTGACAAATGCATTACGAATACTTGATCTTATGGTTAAACCTTATGAAGGTTTTCTTGATTTCCAAGGCAGATTTGGAGAGAGAGAGAGAGAGAGAGAGAAAAGGTTATAAAACAAGGAAGATTCCCGTGAGTTTGTTTTGTAGGGTTTGGGATGAGATGGGATTGGCTGGCTTACCACATGCCTCCCCTCCTCTCCTCCACTTGCCCACTTCTCAAACAAACATCGATTACCATTCAATTACCCCCATTCCCTGTTATACCCCTTAGATCCAATCCAACTTCCACTATCCCACACCCACTCTAGTTTCTTTTGCTTGCTTGCTTCTTTCTCAAGGCTCACCTTTGATAATAATTGAGATTCACAACATAAAATCCTTTTAATGTTTTGAGTAAAAGGGTCATGTTCATCATTGCTTTAAGCCATTTTCCTTGCTAAACAAATTACATAACAAAAGGTTGCAATATATGGAAACCCAACAACATTGATGTGATACCAAAATGAGCAAAGAGTACCCCTCTCATGGAGGGCATTGTTTAGTTACCGATTGAGCAATGAGTGGACAAAAAATCGAAGGAGATGAATAGATTAAAATTTGGACGAAAATATCTCTAGTTATTATTATTATATCATAAAGGAACAAACAAATGCTAATTTCATAATCAAATTACTTCAGCTTGATGAAACATCAATTGATATGATTGAGTTTGTTCCAACTTACATCAATTAATATATTAAATTTATAGTGGACAAGAAGAGTGGCCTACAACAAATTCAAATATTTAAATTATACCTCATAAAAGAAAGAAGAAGAAAAAAAGGGATATATATACCCTAACATTATCCTCGAAATGGCAATATGGTCATTTGGGCTAAGGGGAGTGGGCTCCAACGTGAGGCAGGCTGTCACGGCAGATGGGCTGGTCTGGCTGGAGGGAGAGTGTCGACTAAGACTAATCACTCACTCGGATTCCAAATTTATTATCCAATCCCATTTTTTCCACCAATTTCATTTTCCAAACCATAATCTAAAAGACAATGACCATTTAGTAAAAAAGCTGAAAATGTATATAAAATTCGGAGACAGCAAAGAGAGTGAGTGAGAGACAGTGAGGTAGAGAGAGAGAAAAATATCTTGGGGTCTTTATTTTCTCGCTTTCTTTCCTTCTCTTTCATTCGCAGCATTTCCTTCCCTCCGATCGCCTTTTTCCCTTTCCTTCCCATTCCTGCAGAGAGAGGAAACCAAGTTCGAATTTCTTTTCGGTGGGAGATCTTAGGGTTTCTTTCTGTGCTGTCTGAAGAAAGCAGAAGGCGCCCGAAGCCCAGATTGGAAGGAAGGAAAGATGAGGGAGATTATTAGCATACACATCGGTCAGGCCGGGATTCAGGTCGGCAACTCTTGCTGGGAGCTTTACTGCCTCGAACATGGCATCCACCCTGATGGCACCATGCCTAGGTATCCTTCCTCCTTCCTCTCTCTTCGCCCTTCTTCAATTGTGTTTGCTCTTCAAATCTGCCTCATTCTTCTCTTCCGTCTCTTTCCGCATTTCTCTTGCCGTCCTTGTTAGGGTTTTTGTCTCGTCTTTATTTTTCTGTGCGTGAGAGAGAGAGAGAGAGAGAGATTCTTTCCGATCTGCTCTAGGGCGTTCCAATACGCTCCGTGGAACAGATTTCATTTTCCATGACTCTGAACAAAACGGCTGATTGCTCGCATGACGCTGTTTATGCTTGCGTTTTCTTCTGATTTAAGATCGTGTATGATATGCCATTGCTTGTGTCGTTGCTCTCGTTCTTGTTGCCGCTGAGTTAGTTTCACGGTTCAAGGGGAATGCTTCGTATGTGATGTGATGTTATTTTCTGTCGTTCAACTGTTTGCTTGGTGGTTGTTTGACTCAGAATGCTTGTGGCTTCTTGCAGTGATACGTCGGTGGGTGTTGCACATGATGCATTCAACACCTTCTTCAGCGAGACTGGTGCAGGGAAACATGTACCCCGAGCTGTTTTTGTGGACTTGGAACCAACTGTTATAGATGAAGTCCGGACTGGGACTTACCGTCAGTTGTTCCACCCTGAGCAGCTCATCTCTGGAAAGGAAGATGCTGCCAATAACTTCGCCAGGGGACATTATACAGGTAAACAATGTGGTAGTCTCTAGATCTTCGTAACGCAGTACCTTTTGAAAATGCTGTTGTAGAAATCCGAGTGTTTGATTTTTGCTCCTGCAGTTGGGAAGGAAATAGTGGATCTGTGCCTAGACCGAGTGAGGAAACTGGCTGATAACTGCACCGGCTTGCAAGGATTTTTGGTATTCAGTGCCGTTGGTGGTGGAACTGGATCTGGTTTGGGGTCCCTCTTGTTGGAGCGCTTGTCTGTGGATTATGGAAAGAAATCAAAGCTTGGGTTCACAATCTATCCTTCACCTCAGGTGATTACATCTCCTAACATGTCAACATTTCCAGCTCTTATGATTTTTTCACCAAATGTTAACCTGTATCTTTTCGAAAACTCTATTGCAGGTCTCAACTGCAGTAGTGGAGCCATACAACAGTGTGCTTTCTACTCACTCCCTTCTTGAGCACACTGATGTGGCTGTTCTATTGGATAATGAAGCTATCTACGACATCTGCCGAAGGTCATTGGATATTGGTCGACCCACTTACACAAACCTGAACAGATTGATATCACAAATCATTTCATCCTTGACAACTTCATTGAGGTTCGATGGAGCTATCAACGTCGATATCACCGAGTTCCAGACCAACCTTGTCCCATACCCTCGTATCCACTTCATGCTTTCGTCATATGCACCTGTCATTTCAGCTGAAAAGGCTTATCATGAGCAACTATCAATCCCTGAGATCACTAATGCTGTGTTTGAGCCTTCAAGCATGATGGCTAAGTGTGATCCCAGGCATGGCAAGTACATGGCCTGCTGTTTGATGTACAGAGGCGATGTTGTCCCCAAGGATGTCAATGCTGCAGTTGGCACCATCAAAACGAAGAGGACAGTTCAGTTCGTTGACTGGTAAGTAATGTTGGATCTGAATGAAAGTATTTGACTTTTTGCATTTCGTGAATCTGTTTAGTCATTTAGTGTGTTTGTTTTAGATATTGTGAGGGAACTATCGACTCAGAGAAACTATCTACATGGAATTTTTGCAGGTGCCCAACTGGGTTCAAGTGTGGTATCAACTACCAGCCTCCAACTGTTGTGCCAGGTGGTGATCTGGCCAAGGTGCAGCGAGCTGTCTGCATGATCAGCAACAACACAGCAGTTGCCGAGGTGTTCTCCCGAATCGACCACAAGTTCGATCTTATGTACTCCAAGAGGGCCTTTGTCCACTGGTACGTCGGTGAGGGCATGGAAGAAGGGGAGTTCTCGGAAGCCCGTGAAGATCTGGCTGCCCTTGAGAAGGACTACGAGGAAGTCGGCGCGGAAGGTGGTGATGACGAAGAGGAGCCTGAAGACTATTGATTGATGACTTGAACTCTGTTGTTGTTCCAAAAGTACAATGTTGCGTTGCATGCCCTGTCTTTATGTTTTTCTTTTACGCATCTGTGGTTGGTTTTGCGGGATGCGCCGTAGCTTCACACATTCTCTGGCGGAATAGTTGATTTGTTATGTTTGCAATGTGTTTTTTGAGCAAGAGGAGAAGCTATTTTGATTACATATTAAAAGATTGTTTTGCAATTGATTGCAAATTTATGCTGCTACTATCACTGATGAGCTCTCTTTTATCTCTCTTTTCTTAGTGAGTGAAGAGGGTGTCTGCAGTTGAACTGATTATGTTGTAGTAAGGTTGCATTCTGTATTATGTGACTCAGGTCAATATTGCCTTGTGGCTTGCTTTGTCTCGGCATGCAGGCGGCAAGATAGCCTTGGCCGTCCTAGTAGTAGTCCTACCATTACCATATTCTCATCATTGTCCAAGTGTCTACGCAATACGATAAGGATAATTCTTGTGCCAATTCTTTTCACCACTTAAACCTTTTCACTTGGTTTGGTTATGATTATTATTATCAAGGGGACAAGGAGTTGTTTCGTGTAAATACTATTATTCCTTTTGTCACTTGTTTAGTTTGTATAAAGTTGAAGGATAATAAATTCAATTACTTGTTTTTTTTACAAGGAGCTCAATTACTTGTTCAAAGAGAGTTTTTTTTTGTTGCCGAGAGATAATAAGTTATACCAAAGTTTTTAAAAGGGCTAATGTAGGCTTATAAATGGCAGGTTTCGAACAAATTATGAAATTTGAAACTAGTATTGGAACGAGTACCAAAGTTTCAGAGGCCAAAATTAGCATGAAACCAATGTGTAAAAAAGAAGAAGAATAACAAAAGTGGTGACTTCATAAAGAGTGGCATTTTACTAATTACTAGGTTATTATTCCATCAATTCTTGCCTCGCAAACTCAGTCCTTAGCCTAGCCTTGCTAAGCTAAGCTAAGCTACCTCCCTATTATAATCTCTCTATACCATAAATGAGGAAAACTTGCATCTACTCCTTGGCTTTAAACCGTGCATTCAAGCTTTAAACAGGCCCTGAGGAAAAGGAAGGGAGTCTGCAAAAACAGAGCACAGTGCAGGGAAATCCCACATCGCTGCTGCATCGCTCTGATACCCCTGCATCATACACTCACTCAATCCATTCATTGCATACAACGAAGCCGAAATCTGCCTCTCCACCTTCATCCTCTCAAACTTGGGCAGCTCCAATTCCCCGGCACAAGCATCAAACAACCCAATACTACTATGGTCGTGATCATCGGCCTGACAAAAGGAATTATCCATCATTCCCTGTTGCATTGCAGGATGCTGGTCCAATCCGGAAGGCATGAATGGCAACAAAGACGATGGAGGAGTGCAGAGTAATTGCTGGAATGACGATGCCGATGACGCAGTACTACTAATGCAGGAGCTGACATCAGGCCTGTAAACATCGTCATCGAAGGCCTTCCTCTTCCTCTCTTGCTTGACCATCTCCTTCTCATGGGAGAGTGAGGATGCAGGGGAAGTCTGAGCATCCCACTGGAAGCTAACAATTTGGCTACCGCTGCTGCTAGCTCTGAGAGACGGAGGGATGATGTTATTTGACTTGTTCTTTTGCTTTTGAGAGTTTCTCTTGCGGTGTAGGAGGTTTCTGATCTTCGTTGAGATGTGTGAATTGGGGAAGAACACACTGCTATGGCTATAGCTGCTGTTGGTGTTGGTGAAGTTGGTGCGGGTGTTGGTTCCCCGGAGGAGTCTGGCAGCCTCATCGTAAGCCCGGGCAGCTTCCTCGGCGGTATCGAATGTCCCCAGCCACATTCTGATCTTTTGAGTGGTGTCCTTGATCTCAGCAACCCACTTCCCAGAGGGCCTCTGCCTGACTCCCACGAACTTGCTCTTGCCGTTGCTTTTCTGTTTCGGTTTGGTGGTGGCGGGAGAGAGACTGGTGCTGGAGTAATGAAGCTCCTGCTTCTGGAACGTCAGATATTGAGCTTCCATCTGTTTATGGGAGATTTAGGGTATGGAAGAGTTACTTTTCGTGTAGTTGAGGAGAGGCAGAGGAGATGGGTGAATGTGAAGGAAAGGAGGATGAGTTCATATATAGGGAGAAATGGTGGAGGAGAGGAGAGGAGAGGAAGAGGACAACGGAGGCCTTTTTGGGGTGAGGGAAGTGGTGGGGGGAGGATATAATTTTGTTACGTTTGCAATTAGTGGGTGCCTCGTCGGTATATAACTTGTCACCATGTTGGCTTCTTGAATTGATTCTCTCCATGAAAGCTACTTCTCTTCTCTTCTCTTCTATCATCAACCTGAATGAATGAATGAAACCATAAACCCATATATCTTTTAAATTATCAATCACCCAAGCAAAACAATGCACAAGACAAGACAAGGGTTCAAAATGCAATAGTCAAAGGAAGAGAGGTAAATTACATTTATTATATATCTAATCAAAATAATAAGATTTAAGACGGTAATATAACATTAACGTGTTTGTTTGGTGTGAGGTTTAGTGTAAATTGGTAAAAAAAAAATGTGAGAAATCGGATTAGTATTATATTAGAAAAGGGTAAACAAGAACACAACCTCCACTAAGTTGAAGTTGATGAGACCAGAAGCTGCATCAAAAAGCAGTTCTGTGTAGTCTAGTGATCTCACCATTCATTCGTTGGTTTGTGGTGGTCAACCCTCTAGAAAGAAAGAAAGAAAGCAAGTGCCAAAATATATAATCGTGAATGCACGAATATTAGCCACTTGGAGAGCTGTCATCAGTGTAATCCCATTTTATGATGATTAACAACCAAATAAATAAATAAAACCCAGCCAGCCAGCACAAATGATGCAATATGGATGAATGGGGTCGGCAAGAGGAAGCATACAAAAGGATCAGAGGAAGACGAAGCTGCTGCTGCTGCAGGCGCAACAAAACAAACCCCAACTTTTTGCTTCGGAATCTTGGAGCCTCAGAGTTTGTGGAATCATCCTTCCTGCTACAAAACAACCCCTCCAACCTGCAAAAACAAAAAGAAAAAAGAACAATTTACAAACTTGCAAATATTGGAACAAGAAATTATCCAGTTACACCATCACTAGGTATAATTCGAATCAGTTTCGATTCTCATAATCACTAAAGAGATGTTCTTGTTTCAAAGATCTCCATACGAAGAAAGAAATACACAACCCAATTCGACATCAAACCAAACTAAAACAGATGAAATACACTTCTGATCTGAAAAAATTACTCATCTTTACTCTTCTACCAAAGCATACCTTGGTAATGCCACGTCAAACAGCCATGCCCCAACTCACCCAATGAATCAAACTCATCGAGTCGAGTCAACAGAGCCGTTTCAATTTTCCTCCCAAAGTGATGATGTCAAGTCAAACCCATTGACGAACCCTACTGATAATATTATAAGGCAGAGCCAAGGTTGGTTGCAAGTCCTTTTCCCACCTTCCAAATGCTCCAATTTCAGTTCCCATTATGAGAATACAAGAGAGCAGAATCTTCTACATCACTTTAACACTATTGCCTCTATAACGTCAATATAGCAGAAATAATAATAGCTCCAGTATTATTAAAAGTAAGCACAGTATGAAACAAATCAGAAGCCCAATCATGCGATTCACAACTATGAAAAGTTCAAAATCCCCCAAGATGTATAATGAAAGAATCACCACTCAAAATTTCCAGTCGATACACAAGGACTCCACAACCATGAATGCAGACAGCGAACAAAACTGCAGCAGAGGACCTAGAATTCCACCATGGATCATGATCCTCTCCAGAAATTCTCACTCAAAAGTGCAACTGACCTTCTCAACTCTACTCAAGCTGCTTTCCTTCCTTCTCTTTACCCACTGTGTTGCCCAACTCATAACATGACATTCTGTTTCTGGACACTCTCAATAAACATATACACATTTTTTTCTCTACATGAGAAGGATACAAAGCAAAAGAGGAGAGGAAAGGCTTTCTTTTTCAACAGCAATGACAGACTTTTCACACTCTGAATCCCAACCAGAGAGACACCGCCAGCTTTTTCCTTGCTGCTGTAGACCATAAATGCAGAGAAACAATTGATGGGGAGAACACCATCTTTATGCAAAGAATGAGAGAAACAATTATATATTTCCCAGTAACACCACACAGCTCGGCTCGCTTGCTGCATCATCATCACAACATCCCTGAACCATAAAAATAGATTCTCTTCTTCAACTTTACGACGGGAGGATCGATTGCAATGCCATCTGTTGCTGGGGAAGTAGCATAGACCAAGTTGAGGCTAATGTGTCTGGTGGTAAGGTCTGCTTGAGGTGCCTAAGCAGATTAACCATTCTACTTGCAGTACTTTCTGTTGCTAGATCCTTCCCACACAGAACCTACAATCAAATTGAAGGTTCGGAGCTTAAACAAAGACTCTGTCTGGTTATCACACTTCGCCCCTTATTATAGCATTGGCTAGCCACAGACTCCGGCCCCATAATGCCTCATGGGCCATGAAACTATACCCACCTCTACACACTTTTAAAGATCCGTATTGACACAAATTCGACTGACAACATGTTTGTACAAAACTAACCTCGGCAAATACCGAAACAATCTTTGGAAGGAACTGGTTGTTCGGGCCTAAAATTTCACCGTCTGACCTGTAGCGATGCAGGGGAAGGGTGATTACAGATAAGAAACCAAGGGACCACCCCAAGCTCCATATTAAGAAAGTATTGAGATATTCAACTCCCTACCTCTCCACCATTAAACAAAGTTGTTCATGGACAACTTTGGCTTCAATTAGATCACCAGTAATTGGCAAACAATTTAACCATGCTGGGATAACCTGCACAAACAAGAGGATCATTTTAACTAAAACAGGTAGATCAATGAGATGCAGAAACCAAGCACAGGCTAACAAGTAAATACGAAATCCAGATTGGAAATTTCTAGGGAAGTTATGTGCGAAGCTAGGAGATCCTAATTCATAGCTCATTTCCTAGCTATCACTTCTCATAAACTGATTCAGACAGACAAACAAAATCATCACAGCATGCATAAACTTTTACCTGAGAAGCATCAATACTGTCGCGATGGAACTGACAAATCTTCCCCAAAGCAGAAACAGCATTGTCATATGCCATAACATTTTCAGCTTGCTTGGCATTAGGGTGCCGTATCACAACATTTAGTCTTGAAAGTGCTTCTGGAAAAAAGCTTGTTAATAACAGAATGGTAACAAATTTGGGTACGGTTCAGGCTGTAAAACTAAGCAACTTCAACAAATATCAGAATGCATACCTCCTACAAGAGGCTTGAACATGGACGCACCAAATTCTGCACACACACCCAGTCCATAAACAGCTGCCTGCAAATCAACAGCTAAGCATGGATCAGGACATTGGTGACCAGAAGTATATTGAAGAACCATTCAGAACTATGGACTACAGACCTGTCGAACGTCTGGATTCTCATCATTGCAAGCCTCCAGTAAAAACGGTAGGAAAGTATCATAATATCTGTAGCATAAGAACACGGTAAGATCGTAGAAAAAATTGTAGTAGGAATGTTATTAGACATCTCAATGGTTAGAGCCAAAATGTCAAATTTTGGAGCTAGATTTGGCATTCTAGCTCCACCAAAGGTGTTTGCATTGGAGGGGAAAACTAAAATGGCAATAGCTCCAAATTCAAATTTGTCTCAATCCAATTTAGTGTGTAGATAATCATTTTATTTAGATAGTCATCATTTTCACATACTAATAGTTAATTAAGGATATTTTGAGATTTATTTTTAAATTTTGGACATTGTTTTGGTCGTTAAATATGACATCATCAAAGAAGAAAATGCACTAAATGATTTAGAAGTTTTATATTTTATGGGAAGAAAAGTAATTTTCTTCATGATAAGAAAGAGACAAATATTTGGAAGGGATGCAAGTAGAAGTGAAAAAATGTAGTGTATTTATAGAGAATTTTGAAAAAAAATAGTTGTTGGAAGTTGAGAGAGTCGTTGGAATGAAATTGATGGCAGATCTGCAAAATAAAAATTTATCACGCCTAGACCAGACCATAGGGCGGCGATAGCTGGCACACGGGGAAGGGCTTTGTCCCATTCCGCCATGTGTTGTAAAGGGACCGGTTTGTTTATCATTTTTAGTCTGGGGCAAATTCGGCCCCAAAAATCCTACAAATCTAGCACTTCGGCTCTTTGACACTCCCATTGGCGGGTTTTTTTTTTTTTTACTTTTTGCCATTGTGTCTAACCATTGGAGATGGTCTTGAGAATTCAGCAGAAATGGGATCTTACTTGAGAGCTGACTCACGACATTGCTCTGCCACATCATCAAAAATACAAATGGCAATCCTTCTCTCCTCCGGTGTCTTATCCTTGCCCTAAATTCAGGGAACACATAAGTCTAACACCATGACAAGAAGAGATTCAATCATAACGCACTTCTGGAAATAAGTTAATTAGGCAACATCACAAAGGCCGCCCAAGTAACATCAGATATATCAAGAGCCTCTTCACAAACTGATTAAAGTGGCATGCGTCATGCACATTAATTTCTAGTGCAGTTAAGAAAATATAACTTTGGAAAATGCATACCACTCAAGGCAATAATACATATTTCCTGTTGCCTCTTGCCTCAAAAGGGATAAAAGCAATAATCGACATAAGTGCTGGCAATATGAGCAGCATCAAGATAACTTACCCACATAGGAGTGAGGTATGATGATAACTCATCAAAGAAAGGCAAGAAAGAAGCCTTGAATGTCTTGATCAGAGTACCCAATATTTCACCAACCTGCAACCACAAATTTCCATTACTATTAGGCAAACATACCAACAACATATTTCAAGAACAGGAACCGCCTCTATACTAACTTGGTCAAAAACTTCCTCCTCTTGCTCATTTTCCTCTCTGACCAGCTCTCCCTCCTCAGCGTCAAAGTCTTCAGCTTTGGCTCTCTCTGCCCTTTCTCTCTTTCTACTTGAGCTAGCTGTGATTACTTGCTTAATCTCATCAACAACTGATCGTACCTGGCCTTCTTCAACAAGTGTGCCAGATATCTGAAGGAAAATCCAACTTCAATGATTAGCTTCAGCCCCACACCTCAGTTATGATGGGAAGAATTATGGGAGCAAATAGCTATATGGAACTTTGAAAAGAGTATTAGTCCAGAATATCTAACTGAGGTTGACATAATACACAGTTTTGCAGCATGAACATAGAAACATGCCAGCCAAACAACTCAACTAGGACGAAATGTCGAAGGCACTAGACCTGAGTCTTACAAAACAATATAGATTAGGATGTCAACAAACCTGTAAGCATTCGTTTAATGCATCCAGCATATTAGCGCAGATTTCAGTATCAGGCTCCTGGAATAAGATCACAACCAAGAACTCCATCAGTCACAAGAAAATGTGAATGTGATAGCACAAGTTGAAAAGGGTGCAGAAAACAAATACAATGCTGTAAGAAGGGTTTCAGGCAGATGATGCACTTTAGAGGAGATGCTATAGAAACAGCTCCGACCCGCAAGAGGTTCTTCAACTTAAAGTAGATGCTCGTATAGAACAAGCAAGAATTCTGATCACATGGCCAACTAAGGAGCAGAATGAAGCTTCTCGTGGGACTAGTATAAGTGTTTACCATACGGCCTCTAACCAGCGAAGTATATGAATGAAATGTAACCACTGTCACCTTATGTAATGCTTCCACCAGAGCTGGAATGATGTAGTCAGACAACTGCTTAACATAAGATTCATTTCGGCCTTGTGCTATTCCCTTCTCCACAGCTAATTTCGCGGACCGAAGGAGCTCTGGCATTGCTGGAAGCAAAAGATAAAATTTTCAGGGACTGAAGATATATATGGGCAGCTTTTCTTACAGGTGTAACCACAACAAAGATATTTGTGTAGTACCTGATACAGCAGCTTTTCTTACTTCTTCGTGGAAGTAAAATTTAAGAAGAGGAACTAGGGTCGGGGCAACCTGTGGGATAGACATACCAAGTTAAAACGGCAACTGTTGTTTATGACCACGACAATAAAATGTAAATGTAATTCAGGAACTAACCTGATCTATCCATGGATAGAAACCTTCTTTAAGCTCATCAGCATAGCAGCATAACATATTGCAAGCAGTAGCTTTTTCTTCCAGGACGCTAGTCTTGATGCCAATCCTTTTGTCCCCAAGAGTAATGGTCTCCATACTGTCACAAGCATTTGTTATTTCTTAGTAGAATACCTCGTACAAGGTATCATGAGAATACAAGCTTTGTAGCCTGGATGTGCTAAGGTGTTTTTGGTTGGAAGACAGTCAAAAATTGAAAAACAATACACCTACTCCAGTTATGATTATTATTAATAATACATCCTCTAGCCAGTGAAAAAACAGGACTTAAGTTACTTCAGATCATCGAACTATCAAGCCTGGAAAATCAGTTGTACCTTTCATCATCGGAATCGTCAATCTCATTATCTGAATCTGCAGATGTAATCGTCACATCTGGCTTCAGTTGGGCAGACAGAAGCAAAGGAGGCATGACAACACTCATGTATGGAAGGAAATCTTGCCCCAAACATTTGCAAAGTCTGGCCCATGCCTAGAGAATAACAGGAAAACAATCATAAAGTATTTGACAAGATTCACCATCCTTTTCTTAATAATGGCAGTATCAAGAACATACTTGCAGCATGTAACTTGTTGTTGGATCATCTGCCTCCATTTGTGAGCCTTGCAAGGACATAAGCACGTCCATGACCTAGCAGAATCCATGTGGCATGAAAATATATGAAACAAAGATAAAAACTAAGAGCCAACATCATCAAAATTAAGAATCGGTCAAGATTGATGAAACGATTGGTAATTAAAATAATTGGTGGTAAACAAAACCAATTATTTTGCATTCTTATATCAGAGTAATTATGAGATTATGCTTGAGGAACAAGAGACCGTGCCCAATTCAGGTCTTGAAATGCTCACTGATAAGCATGATTTGTCACGTACCTGCTTAGCATCATCCCTGAACTTATCCTTGCCAACAGCCATTCCAACAAGACTAATGCACTCCATTGACTTGGCACGAAGCATGCGATTAGATTTGTCAGTTGCATTCACCAAGATTGCTTTCAAGTAGGGCATGACTGCATCATAGTACTTTTGGAAATGCTCCTACAAGACCAACATAATAAGAACAAAATGCAGCATGCATATAAACAATCCACACTCAACAACTAAGAAAAAAATTCACAATTACCTGAGATGAATCAGCAACTGATGCCAAAGCAGTTAGTGCTCCCTCTTGAACCATTTGCTTTCCATTCTGTGGTTTACATTGTGATAATCTAAGTTACTAGGAGTTTTCAACCAAGCTACATCAAATAAAAATGGCCCCAATATGTCATTAAAACGTTAGTCAACTTACCTGTAGGAGTACAAGCAATTTGCTCACTATTCCATCTAGATAAGGCGTCAGAATTTCAGGAGTACAGTTCTCACTAAAGTTGAGAACAGCTGAAGCAGCATGTGCCTACCAAAAGAAAATACAAAAGTTTCAAATACAGCAAGCAACATAGAAATGGGAAAATAGAATCTGAGCTACGATAATTGCAATTACAATCTATGTCTGGTTGATAGACAATCCAATAGGATATGTTTCAAAGTCAAAACATCAATTGATCACAATTAATAGATAAACCTTTGCCGCCATAGGTCCTACTTCACAGCTAATTACCTGTCAAATCTTTTCAACTTAAAAAAGCATCAAAGTAGAGTATTACCTGTACTCTTGGATTCTGGAAGTCATCCATTGAAGCAGCTAGTGCTGGCAACACTCTTTGATGATACTGATTTTGCAAATCAGGACCCAAATCAGTAGACAATTGGCCAATCGCATTTATAGCTGCCCATCTAACACGGGGATGAGGATGTTGAAACGAGTTGAGAACCATGTTCACCACTTGCTCAAGATTTTTTAACATCACCTGCAGAACCAGATAACCAAGAGTATCAACATTGCCCGCCAACTTGTATCAATGTTACTGTGTTTTTACAGACTCTAAGCAAGCAATCTTGTTCTGCTTGACCACATGATTTAAGCAACTTTAAAAGTCACAGCACATAGCAGCACGATGCAATCATACCCAGAGAGAAACTACCACACATTACCTCAATAACCGGCGTTCAAATAAAACTAGCTTACAATTCCAAAAACAAGCAAGTAAGAAATATGGATAAATGACAAAAGGAAAGTGTTTTAAACCTTAGAGCAACCCTCGGCAATCTGGGCAAGTGCAATGAGCGCAGCATGGTGCTTCTGCCATTCTGGAGCAGACAAGTAAACAGGTAGCTGCTCAGACGCCACTGGAACAATTGTGTTCCCGCCCAATGATATTGCCAACCTATCCAAACACTCTTGCCCAACGCTATAATTACTCGACTCTCCCGCATCCTCATCCTCTGTCTCTGCAGTATGCCAAGCAGGATCGTCCTCGACATCCAACAGCATATTCATCAGTATAGCAAACAACCTGCTAATAAACTGCGGCAACTTCCTCATCATTCCAGGCGCCCTCTCCCTAGCTTCAGCCAAAGTAATAACAAACTCAATCGCCAAATGCCGAGTCCCCTCTTCCAAGCTCTGGGCCTCGGCAATCTGCAGCATAGCCCCAACCACATCAACCAGCTGCCTCCTCAAGAATCTAGGCTCAGTTCCAGCCAGCTCAATCAACAGCTCCAGAGCCTCCTGAGCGGTGGCCTCGTTGCCATTATTCAACGCCTCGGTCAACGTCCTCATCATCGCAGGCAACAAATCCTGAAATCTATCCCGATCAGAAGAGCTGCTCAGACACTGGATGAAATTGATAACAGCATTCAAAGCGGCAATCTTCACATCGAAACTGGGGGAAGAATTCAAACACTGCAAGAACACCCCATGCAACTCCTTAATAAAGGGGACCAAAGTCTCCCCGATGTACTGCGACAACTGGGCGAAAATCAAGAAGGCAGACTCCTGCAATTTAGGGGAATCGGATGAGACGCACTGGAACATGAACGGCAACAGCTCCGGCCAACCGTTATCCGGCAAAATCCCGGAGGCGAGCTCGGACACCGTGTCACAGAGCTTCTTCAAAATCGACTTGGCCTGCTCCTGCTGGACGCAGGAGAGGAGTATCGATTTGAGTGACGACTGGGTATTGATGTTGAGGCGGGGCCAGAGGTAGGCGTCGTCGCGGGTGAGTAGCTTGCGGAGGAGGACGGCGGCCATGGCGCGAGCGTCGGGGTGAGGGGAGTGCTGGAGGAGGTGTGCGAGCTTGAGGGAGAGGGAATCAGGATTGTTCTGCTTGCAGAGGTTGAAGGCGAGCTCGGCTTGGGATCGTTGTTCGTTGGATGAGGACATTAGGGAGGAGATTAGGGTTTCGAAAGGGGCCGGGTCTTGCCCCAGGATGGCGGCGAGCTGAGCTTGCTGGAGCTGCTGTTCGTCCATGGCTGCTGCTGGCTGGTTTGGTTGGCAGGCCGGGAAGGAAAGAGGGTGGCGTTTGAGGCGGGGGAATTAGGGTTTTTGGGGGGTGGAGGGAGAAAGGCAGTGAAACAGTGAGAGGAGGAAAGTGAGATTTTTGGGGGAGGGATAGATAGAGAGAATATTAAGAAGAGAGCCAGAGAGGGAAAAAGCAAGGTAGGCTGGGGACGGGATTGTGGGGTTTTATTTATTTGGGGATCGTTTTGAGTATTTAGACAAAGGTTGGGGAGAGGAAGGGAGCGGAAAATTGGATTTTGATATTATTTTATTGATAAGGAGATATGTTGAATGAATTATTGTTGTGGAGGATTAGCTGGAATTCGTGGGTAATCATCATCATTATTGTGCCAACTTTATCTACGGGCTATTGCATTTTTTGTACTCTTATTCTCCAAAAAAAAAGATTTCTTTCTAATGTATTAAAAACAGGAAAGGGAAATGTTTCTAACAACTCATTTGGAATCAAAAATTAATTTCATATTATTACTAGAGTGAACATTGAAGGATATATACTATATACAATGAATAATTCTATGAGAATTGGATGTTTTTGTTACTCAAACCTCAAACGGTTTCTACATGCTAAAAAACAAAAGGTACATGAATAGGCTTTTACAATAACGTTAATGTAAATAGGAAAAATACTCTAATGTATATGGTTTTTATAGAGATTATAACTCCTACACAATACATGTGCAACAATAATATAGTATAAGTATAACATAAATCTACTTGTAATATCTATACTCTAATATTATATCGCAAACAAGCATTGAATCCACCAAGTAGTTCACATTATCACACAACATTTTCTCACCATCAAACTTCAAAACAATAGTTGTCATTTTTCCGTGTAAGTGATGATGTGTATTAAAAAAAAGTGTCTCCAAAAATTTGAATCCAAAATGTCAAACAAACTTCGAGACTATACACAAAAAACTAGAGCTGATCATTCGGTTTTCGATTAGTGGATAACTGTGGATTATAACCAATAAATGTCAGTTATTAGTTAATAAAAACTAAAAATTAGTGGAGATGGTCGGTGTTTCAGAAGGGTAACGAGAGAGGGTGGTTAACCGACCTCAAACTGATGGATCTCAGTGAACCCTAACAAGAATTGTAATATTACCAAGGCAGCACATAATTGGACTTGTAAGAAAGCCCACGGAGGCTTCTCAACCATGTCTCTTTCAAGTTTTCAAACCCCAAAAGCAAGCCTAAAGGTTCCTCTCCTCGGCCGAAGCCCACAATCACGGTTATGGCCTCCTGCGTTTGTGGCTTCCCGATTCTCTTAACAACTCTCCGATCAACCAGGTATGTAATGTTGCTCTTCCTCCAGTGATCTCGCTCAGAACAGCTTGCCATTCTACCCTTCTCTCTATCTAGTGTATAATCATCTCAAATGGACTTAACCGTTCACTCTATACACTTCATGGTCCTGGTAAAGTACAGTTGGCTTCACGCATGGGAGTTCGAAATAAATTAGTGTCTTCTCCTCCTCCTACTCATCATCATCATTGCCCTCATGGTCCTTTGAGGCTTTGACATTACTTTCGATTCCGATCATCAAATATCCACGTATTATGCACCACCCTAAAACTCTCATATGATACATAGGTAAAATTGTTCTGTAAGCAATCGATGGACTTGAATTCCAAGGATACTATTAAACAGGAAGCGAATATGATGCAGCCAGCAAGACCTATAGACAAGAACACAGATCCCCCGCTTGCAACCAAATGCACCGTGCTGGGTATATCACCAGAGACCTGCTATTCAGTCACAGATCAGAATCGTTTACTGAAACCCAATAGAAATATGGGAGACAGGAGGACCCCAGTCACTAAAAGTGGCAAACAATAGATATCCATTCACTAGAACCATAGGCCAAAACAAGAGGTGAAATTTACATCACAGGAGCAGAGGCTTTTCCCCAGTTTTCATCCATACAAACAAATGAACTAACAGAATCAATACAAGAACAAAATGCCTCGCCGATATAATTCAACAGGGTATCATTCTACTCTCAAGTGGGAAGAAGAAGCTATTTGAATTGAACCTGGTTCCAGTCAGCACGTATTAATCCCGTCCTTGCAATCACTCGTCAAATTATAGAACGTCTCAACCCGAGTCTTCCCCCTATAGAACACCTCAGTATCCACTGCAACTCTCATATACCCATCGAACTCCACTGCCCTCCCGCCATTCAATTCCCTCGTCTCGTTAAACCAATCGCTTGTTTCCCCCCACATCTCCTTGTAATCATCCAGCAAATGCACCTTAAAGTGTGACCTCAGCTTATCGAAGTAATTATAGAACGGCTCGTTCGTCGCCACGTACAAGTTCCTCCATGGATGAACCATCTTTTGAACCTTCTCCACCAAGGCATCTGGGGACGTGTCAGAATCTAGATGTGGCCATCGTTCTTTATTCACTGCTTTCTCACCTCGAACCACATGAACCGCATCGAAATCCCAGTCCATACGCCCACTGATGTCACTCACTATGTTCATCAGCCTCTTGGACTTCCAAATCGCGTGCCATGGCCTCTGTACGTGCTTGGAAGCTTCACCTTCGCATACTCTGTACCAATAGTTCTCAGGCTCGGGCGAATCGAACTGCCTCCAGATGATACTGCTCTTATCTTTCTTCAGTTGCATTGGTGTTGTCTTATGAGTCACGATCTTCCTCACTGGGATCTTTCTCTTGTGTGAACGATCCCATTTCTTCCAATCCCTCAAAAACTCACTCTCTTCCACGATCGATGCTGCCTCCTTGAGATGCTCAAAGTCAAAGTAGTACCGGAAATCTTTCCCTTCTTCGTCCTTCCCACTAGGGTTGTAGCTACCTGATAAGCATAAGCTCAAGTCCATCACGAATGTTCGGTTTAAGTACATTGCTTCTCCTAATCCACATAGGAAGCTCCACATGTACTGATTCATCCCTTTGCAGTAATCCCCTCCTCTTGAGTAATATAAGTACTTCCCTTTCCTGAAATTCAAGTCTGACCCTAGGGTTGGGATGGTGTCGTTTATCTCGTCGTCACGAACCGGTGGAGCAACTCTTGGCCTGGTTCGACCACCAGGTCTAGTAGCAGCTCTTGGCCGACGGGCATTGAGACCCGAATGCCAGCCATTCGCGTGGACAATCTCGTAGGTGCAATTATCTCCATACCCAAACTTGAACCGCCTGAAATCCCTGTACTTCCTCCATGACTTCTCCTTCTTGTTACGAAACCTCCAGGAGACATCACATTCATCGGGGTTCGAGCCATTAACGGGAGTCTGATAGTCCAAGAACACAATGTTGGTCTTGAAACGCTTTAGATTGAACCTCTCGACTGCAATCAGAACCATGGGATCGGAGCAATTGACAAGGTTTGAATCCTCACAGCCCGAGGATTGCAGAGTAGTAGAAGCATTTTCATTCTCAATCTCAATCTTGGCTTCGGATTTCTCGATCACCTCCTCTGTGATCCCCGTCGAAGGGAGAGCAGCAGGAGCACTAATACTCACAGTCTGTATATCCTCGCCGGTTTTGAAGATGGAATTGTCGATCTGGAAAGTGGCGTTCTCGCTCTGGGTGAAGAATTTGGTGAGAGCTGGAGCTGATTCCAGCCATGGATCTGGAGGTTGGTAGGTGATTGCAATAACAGTGAAAATCAGAACAGTGAAGACGAAGACTGAGAAGCACAGATTGCTTATCAACTTGATGAGGTTCTGCCCAATTGGCTCAGTGGAAGGAGTCGCTGCTTCCTTCATGAGTTCTCACTCAAACCCTACAAAAAATCTCCCCAGTAAAACACCAAATTTCCCCAAAATCAGATCTTTTTTATTACAATCCACAAGATAAAAGGAAACCCAAGCTCAGTCCGCTCAGATTCAGCAATGGGTACCCACACAAACACAAATTTCTGAAACTAATTAAGCAAGACGAAGAGAAAAATTGCAAAAGATAGTTGGGTTTAAGGAGTTCACTTACTCGGAAGCGAAATCTCTCCAGTAGCCACCGCGAGATAGAGATCGAGATCCACGCCCAGCTGAAATGGAAGCTGCTTTTTCGCAGTTATCGATTGATGGCGGTGAACGGGGAAATGGGAGGTCGGGAAAATTGGAGAAGAAATGACGCGGATGGATGGAGCAAAAGGCTGAAGCTTTGGTTCGAAGCAAAGGAAAGAGGGAGTTGAGATGTGGATGGTGGCGTGAGTGAGAAATTTTACAAAAAGCGATTTTCCTTTCTTAATTTCCGAAACAATTTGAGCTCTAGATTTGGATTATGGAGTTGAGCTGTTGCCAGGGCAGCACTAGATCTCTCTTTCAGGGAGCGTTGCTATATCGTAGTCGTCGGTGGTACGAATGGCAATGGGGCAGGTCCAGGGTGGGTTTCTTGGTATCCAGACCCGCTCCATGGCATTGATCACGGGTCACGGGTCGGGGCAGGTCGACCCAATGGGTATGCAATTTATATGAAAAACATTAGAAATATTCGTTATTTTTATTATAAAACTAAGAAAACAAACAATATTATGACAATTGTAGTTAAATTATTGGAGAAATTGAGGTTTTCACTAATTTACAACTTTATTATAGCTAAAATATGATGCAATAAAAGGAAAATTCAAAGTAATTTGACTAAAATTTCATGTAATTTAGATAAGAACGGGTCAAGAATGGGGCGGGTCAGGGCAGGTCGGGTCGATAAGACTACCCATGCCCGCCCCGCCCCGCCCCGCCTACGGGGCGGGTCGGACCCGCCTCAAAACAGGTCAAACAGGTCGGGTAAAACGGGTCAGGTCGAAATTGCCATCCCTAGTCGGTGGGCGTTTTATTCTTTTTCTATTTCTGGTTAATTTCCAAACTTTATGATTTGAAAAGAGGATTATGGCCATAAATATTGGGTTAATGACAATTTCAAGTTGGGATATCACCTTCAAATTAGGTGTAGCTCCAATCAAACTCCAGAAGGTCACTCCCCTTCTAAAGGGTCCCTAGCTAGAAGTTAGGAAACTGAGAGGTTCATATATATTAAAGAAGAGTCAAGGAAACAGAGCAAGTGTCGAGTCGAGTACCATTCCATCCCATAAAAACCAGCAATGTCTGATTACCTTCAGTATTACTACAATGATTCGTTAACCAAACTAAGACCAGAACCACAAAGGAGTTAGTCAAGAACATTGTTTCCCTGGTAGTACGAGCGAGCGTAAATCATGCGCAATCAATCTATTAGGAAGAAAAGGATGACTATGAAACTGAGACCACTCTAAGCTAAGATCGACGCCGGTGTTCACCGGTGGGAGATCAACTACTCTGAAAGAAGGGATTTAGCAAGAAAGTGTTAGCAAGAGCCGAGTGGTAGAACGAACAACATAACGTATTAAAAACCTAGAGGTACGAGCCCAATTCGTTCTCCATTTACCATACCACAAGTCTAGGAATTGAACATCTAACACAATACACAATCATAGAAAGGGCATTTGGTCTAGTGGTATGATTCTCGCTTAGAGTGTGAGAGTTCCCACCTCAAAATTTTCCCCCTACATGATTAGCAGTAGCAGGAAGAGATGACAGATCCAGACAATTCATTTCATTTTTCACCAGAAAGGGAAGATAACCAATATCCATATTAATTACATTTGCAGGCCTAAAGGCTAAAACACATCAACTTGAACCCCTCTTCAACCTCTCACGTCACATTAGTAGATTGAGCAGTAATGAGTCCATATGTATATCACCATCTTTCTTCCGCAAATCAAAAGGTCAGAGGATCGACAGTCCAAAAACTTGCAGCTAATAAGTAACAACGAGACCCCATCCTACAGAGGCCGCTATACTTGCACCACCTTCGCCCCTTCTCTCAATGGCTGGATTCTGCTATATGTCCTCGCAACCAACCCTTCCTTCACATTAACGTGAACTCAGCTCCTCAAACTGTTTGAGTCACACACCAGTTGCAGTTGCAGTTGCAGTTGCAGTTGCAGAGAGAACATGATTATACTTGGTGGGTTGACCAACTTGGTAAGCTAGAATGGGCTTTGATTGTTCTTTGGGTGTGGACAATTGGGCCCTTAGCCCAACTGGTTGGGGCAGGGTAGGGTGAACGAAGGAAAAGATAAAATAAGGTCGGGCTAAGTAGTAGCATAGCATGCAGCTGGTGAGCTGGATATAAGCCTGGTGGTATTGGGCAAGAAAATGAACTCAGACTGATACAAATGTTTGACCGTTGAGTTAGAAATTGACTTAGTCGACAACTGTACTTAGTTGAATAAGGAGCTTTGTTGTGTTCCGTACATTGGTATAATGTGATTAATGTAAGTCCTCGAGTGGAGGGGAAGGTTCTTGGATAACACATTTGACCCAGCTGGACCAGACGATAGAGGACAAAAGGAAACGAGCTAGCTAGCTAGCTAGCTAGCTAGCTAGCTAGAGAAATGAATAGAGTTGTTCGCTGCGAGTAGGCTCTGCTTTCTTATCAATTAACACGTACAACAACAACGGTTTCATTTGCTGTATAGTTTATTTATTAGCACCGGCAGGCAGGCAATCGAGAAACGCAGGGTTGGGTTGGCAATGGGCTGGCTTCCAAAATGTGCATGCATTGCATTGCTGCTGCTGCAGATCTCTCTCTCTCTCTCTCTCTCTCTCTGATGATGATGATCTTCTTTCCATAATTCCAGCTAGCTAAGCTCCTCTTTCCCAATGGCTTTAAAACTATCCCCAGTGTTCATATCCATAATCCATACAGATTTATTATTGATGGCCAACCCACTGCCTGATTGGCTGATTTCATACTTTTACTGATGTGTTTTGCATGGCTGGTCTATAATGTACACAATTTACACATAGACAGAAGATTGGGAACTTGGGAATTAACCAATATGGATCAGGCAGGAATTTATAACCAGAAATCCAATTTTTCCTTTTGTGTAAATACAGTATGAAGCTTCCTGACTTGGTTTTGCTCTCCCTTCCATTAGGAACCGAAAAACAGAGTCAATACTGACTCCTGTTGAAGATTTCCTGCAAGATTTGTTGACCCACTCCCAAGCTTTTATCGAAGGATAAGTTACTCTCATTCCTCAACAACACAGACAAGTGTTCATAAATGAACAAATGGGTTCCTTTTGTGTTTGTATTCTACTGAGGGCCTTGCAGAAAGAACTTGCCTTTACAATGGTACATGCCTTTTGGTATCAGAAATAAAAAATAATGAAGCCATATTCCTATACCATCTTTTCCATATTCACAGAAAAGGAAAGACAAAAGAATGAACCAATTGGGAATTAAAAAAAGTTAAAATCCATATGTTGAACTATCTAATTGTAAGAAGAGTCATCCATCTGCATGTGAGATTGACAATGGCGATGAGCATTGTGTCTTTGAGAAGAAGGGCAAGCTTCGACTGAACCGGGATGGTGACTCCACCACTAATGTTGTTGCTTCCGTGGAAAACCCAGCTGGCAAGGACAATCTCTGGCTAGAAAGACTGCTTCTTGGAGACAAGTTCACTTGCTCCAGTGCCCTAAACTGGAGCTCTGAAGGGTAGTCCCTCACACACCCGATTCTCGGCCCTGCACCGGTCGTCCATTTGCAGGACAGTTGCCTTCCAAGTTGATACGACTTGGTTCCCTTCTTCGAATTGATCCTTTCCAAGATTGCTTCTCGAGGAACGGTCTCCACTTCTTCCTCAGCAATCTCTTCTTCTGCTGATTCATAACCATTTCCCTCTTTGGAATCGTTCCAATCAAACAAATCAGCCCTTGTTGGAATCTCAAGACTTGGTAACTTCTTGTTCAAGTTACCAAGCCCCTCTCCTGCCTTGTGCTGATGTTGTTCCACTGCTGCAGATGAAACTGAAACCTCTTGTTCTACTTTGGTGCTAACTACTGAAGTCAAATTCTCATCGACTGCTTCGATTAAGTCATCGTCTTCGGAGTTGGTTCTAAGATGCTTACTGCTTCTTTGCTTGGAAAGCAAGCCATCTTCCTCGTCCACAGGATTCGTCTGAGCAATTAAGAAAGAAACAATAACAAAAATCTCAGCACACATGGAAACTAAGAAACAAACTATCAAACTGAGAAACTGATGTTGATGCATGTCTCTCTTTACCTTAACATCTGTCAGATCAACATCATTCTCTCTCAGGAAGGAAAGGAAGTCTCGAAAATTCTCCTCAGTAGGCCTATAGTGACCGCTGTGAGGCCAAACTGTCTTTAGTGTGCCATTCTCAGCAATCAACCTTCCAGCAGCAGTTGCTACTCCACCAGCCAAGAAGCTAGAGTGCTGAAATGTCCCCTTCTTCTTCTGACCAACATACAATGTCTTTGAAGTACTAAGAACAAATATCCACTTGGAATCTCCAGTTGTGTTGAGCAATTCCCCAGTTTGCTTGTACATCAACTTCCCATCTTCAACCACTACTTCATATGCCTGCCTTTCCATCTGCAAGATGTATGAAAACACAATAAAGTTTAGCCAAACTAATCAAGGGTCGAACAACACAGAAAAGAGATCTCCCAAGCAAAGAAAGGGGAACTTACTGGACCAAGATACTTGATGCATTGCTGTTGAAGCTTCCACCGGGGGCATTTCTCAACCAGGTTAACTTCCTTTCCTTCACCTATGTCCAGCCTGCAAAATCCAGATTAAGCAAATGTTCAGTTCCCAGAAAAAACTATAATAAACACGAACAAATGAGGGCATAAAAGGCTTAAAGAACAGAACTTTACCAGTAAAAGAAGGGCTCTCTACTCTTGGAATGAAGCCAGCTATCATAATAGAAATGGAGGTTATGCCCATATCGATGCCTTGGATCAATCTGTTTTCAACAAAGGAACCATAGGTTAGATGACACTCAAAAATATAGATAGAGAGATTAGAAAGATACAAAAAGAAGTGTCAATTTGTAACTTACAGCTTCAAGCCAATGCTGGATAGCCAACTTCTGAGCCTTGCCATTCTTCAACAAGCCTTTCCCAACCTTAGCAGCTCGAGTTCTAGCTCTGGACCACCTCGAAATGGCGGTCTCGTGCTTCTCGATGTCGAAAAATGAGATGGAACTATGCTTGAGCTCAGCAAAATCCAAAAGCTTCCACCTTTAAAAAGTTAAACATAACCCACATTAGAACCCTTCACTATGTGCCAGTCTTCAATACGATTCTAAACCAAAGAAAAGGAAAAAGGACAAACATAATTTCATACCAGCTCTGCTCAACAAGAACGGCACAATCAGCAAGCTTTCTCCTGGTCCTGAAGCTCTTGTAAACCTTCTGCAACTTCACAGCAGCCTGGTGCTTAGGGTTTGCCGGATCGAAAACGGGCATCTTTCGAGGCGAATCGTTGTGATCATACTTGGCATGCTCTTGGATAGAGTTCATCATTTTCTCGAATTCCACCCCTTTCAAGCTGATAGATCTCTCTACCACCATCTCTCCAGATGCAGAGCGAGAAACTGTGGGCTCCAAATCTGACCTCTTAAAGCTCACTGAGCGGACAGGTGTCTTGGCTGCTCCATCGTCACCGAAGCTGATGGATTTGACCACCATTGACTCCAACGCGCTCTGGACATCGTCGGACTCCCCGAATGAGCAGGAAAAGGGAATTCCCATCCGAGGAAAGAAAAGCCTAAAACAGAGGGAAAACAGAGTATTAGTCACCACTACTGTTGGAAAATGAGATCCACAGCAGGAGAGAGAAAGGAAGTAGGCATTGCAGAAGTACCTTAGGGAACTGAAGAGCCGTACGGCGAGGGAAGGTTGAGAAATGTAAATCTGGGTGTTGAAGCAGGATGATTAAAATTGGTGGGTTTTGTGTGTTTTCCCCGGTGAATGAGTATGCCGGCCGGTGGCAGAGGAAGGGAGAGGAGGAGGAGTTGGCGGTGGTTGGAGAATGTCAAATGAATGTGAAGTTGGGGATGGGAGGGCGAGCGTTTGAAGCATTTATAGGTGAAAAATCCATAGAAAAGCGCGAGAGACGGCCAAAAAGGGCAGAGGGGAGTGGGGTCAGTGGTGGTGGTGGTGACAGTAGCAGAGTGCCTCTTTTTTCCAAACCACGTGGAGGAGACCGAGTGACTGGTAATAATGGTGAAAACCCGCGGGAGGAAGGTCTCCTCTCCCTTCAAATTTTCATTTCCCTTATCCCTGAAACCCACCCATCCTCTTTTATCTTTGAACTGTTCTTTCTGATTATGTAAATCTCAGAAAAAGCTCTAACCGACACATAGCTCTAACTTGTTGGTGCTCTGTTTCTCTGCGTTCTTCAGCCTTATTTGACTTTGTTTCAACGGACGGGGCAATAGAGAAATGGAGAAACCTAATGGTTAACTATGTTCATAGATAAGGGAAAGTAGATGTCACTACTTTTAGAGGAGAGTATCGTAAGAGTTGGAATAAGGTACATCTATTTTTTTTAAACCCTAATTAGATCAGACGAACAAATTCAAAAAATAGTTACTAATTGATTCGTGAACTACTTTGACCATAGAGAATCCGACCAAAGGGAGGGAAAGAAGTGAGTGCGAACGTTGAACTAACAAACCAACGCGTAAGGAGGTTGATCGATTGTCCTTCCTTTATAGATTAACTATAGTAACTCCACTCAACCAACAAAGTAAATTCAATACTTAAAGTTGAGTTAGTATATACATAAAATTTTAAATTGATTACATATCTTTCTTATCATTTACATGATAAATAGTGATTACGATGAATATGATCACTCGGAAAGATTTTGCAAATAACTTGATCAAAATATTGTTACTTACTTAACTTGGGGAACATGTATATTGGTTGATTGAAAACGTGGAATGTAGTCTAACTGATTCAATCCACAAATACCATTAGCTACGAGATCACCTCCTCCACCTCCACTATCTGGACAAATCATCGTTTTATTCATATAAATAGTAACTCTAATCGTAGAAGCACTTATATATGGTTCTATCGTACGCCAGACAAAATTAGGTGTATGTCGTACACCAGGCAATCTCTACCTTCCTCGTCCATCTCAACAGCCAGCATAATTGAGGTAATTTATTTTTTAATCCCACAAAAAAAAACCGCATTAATGCTGGTCGTTGAGATGAACGTGGACGGCGAAGGTTGCTGTTGTACGACATACCCCAATATCTATCTGGTGAACAATAAAAGTCACCATATATTATCCACACAATCTCATATTGTTCACTTAATCAACTGTTAACATACAGAGTCATTATTCACTATATTATGGGAATATGAGAAATAGAATAAAGTAACAAACAAATCCAACAAATTAAGGAGTGGTTTAAAAGTTGTGATTGTTAAATAGATGTATTGTTGTGAATGCATGTAAAAATATTATACATGTATTGTCGAATTTGATACATTGTAATATACAACGTTTGGTATGTGTGATTGTGTATGTCACATCAGCTAAAAGCTGAGACAAAACAATCTCAACAATCACAACTAAAAATTGAGATATAACAATCACTCATTTTGAGTGATAATTTCTGTCACATCACATAAATAAAAAAAATGCATTCTAAACAATACATGTATAATAACATTCTCACCAAAACAAACAACGCTCAAGAGACTCCTCAGCTTGGTCAGCAAAAGCTATGGCTCTTGCTGAAATGATACTGACAGTTGATGATCAGTAAATATTGATGACAAGTATATAGAAAGAAGAATTGACTTGGTCCGTGCTTTACAAGCAAGCAAGCAAGCAAGCAAGGTCAAGGTAGCAGCAATTCGATCGCCAGCCCTGATGTCACGCACACAGACCGCTGAATTTATCCCCCAAGTAAATGCACTATAACGTAACTTGCAAGCTTCCAAAAGTTGGTCCCTAGCTCGATCTTTTTTTTGACCCAGCAAAATCTAATCTATCTTAATTATAGCTTTTAATATGCTGTTAGTCTCCAACCTACCGTCTTCATACAACTAGCTATTTTTATAAATATAATATAATGGAGTTTGTAAGTCAATTCTAGCTAATGAAAATGACTGCTTCATCCACCCCATCGATACATATATATAAAAAAATAAAATTATGACTTTTCTTAATTATTAGTTAGGGAATGCATAAACGTCATTATCGAATATCGTACACATTTTGGTCATATATATATATATATATATATATATTGTGGGTTGGGTTTGGTTTTGTTGCATCTAACAAAGACATGCCACGTAATTTCTGTAATTAGGTGTCTCCCCATTGGGCATCATCGATCATTATCAACTCCCAATTATATAATAAAAAAAACATTATGTAAAATTGAACTCTTGAAGTAAATATTAATACATAGATAATTATATATATATGATCGATGGTGTTTTCAGTGCACTCACTTTTTTTAGTGTATTCAGTGTACTCGCTTCATAACCGTCATTTTAAACATGTGATCTATGTCAAAATGATGTCAATCATCACTTATGATGTGATGAACAATAACACATATGAATTTGCACAAAAATCATTAAAGATTTACTTTAATTTGAAGGATTTAGAGTTTAGAGATTTAGGGTTAGGGATAGGGCTTAGGGTAATCCACTAATTAGTTATTATCATATGTTATATCATCATATTACACTATATCTATAAATTAAAATTCAAAATCCAACACCTTAAGACTAGTTTTTGAGTTGGGTGCATTGAACGCACTCATTTTTGTGAGTGCACCGAAGTAGTCACCTGATATATATTGTACATATGTATTTCCATGTAATTTTCTCTATTTTGTCGGCATATATAATTAAGTTGAGAAGCTTGATTTTGGTGAGACGTTAAGTTTGGGTGGAAAAGAGGATAAATTAATTACAAACTCTTATTGACGATGGAAATTACCTGCACAGTTGCAGTATATATAGTCCATACGCGCATGGATGGAGTAAACTTAATTGCATGGCCCGGTCTCGCGACTCCATCGATATATATATATATAGTCCATTAATTAGTAAATATATGTAGCTAAGCTGCATACTGTTCAAAGTCGATTTCCAATCCCAAATACTGGCCGGTCTTCATTGCTAATTAATTAACTCTCACACAGACACACACATATATATATATATAGGGATTTCATTTCATTTGGGCATGCAAACCGGTACGCGTTGTCGTCCAACTTTATGGACCTGCTGACAAATACATATTTGTCGATATACATATATATTAGCTAGCTAGCTAGCCTGAGATTTTCCGTACATTTTCCTTTCCTGAGTGGCTAAGTCCATATTACTACTACATCTACATGCTCCTGCAAGTACGTAGCTAGGTTTTGGCACAAAACGAGCTTAATGCTTATATTGGGACGTGTAGATCCAGAGTAGCTAGCTACGTCTCTCTGCATTGCAGTCTCACGAAAGATATGGTTGTATTGTATGGTATCATCATCTTCTGTATATGCTTTGCTTTGTGCCAATCCCTCCACTTATGCAATTCTTAGAAAAACAAACATGCAGGAGAGAAAAAAAAACACGTTAACTCATTTGTTTTTGTCTCGATAAAGTAATTGTGCATGTGAGATGATACAAGTTAATAAGTAGTCTTAAATTAATATACTCTTAATATAATTAACTCTCTCTCTCTCTCTCTCTCTCTGTGGAGTGAAGCATTAATTAATTGAGGAATATATAGAGAGAGAGAAATAGAAACGAGTGAGGTATGAATGCAAAATGAGATGAGTAGCCAGTTGGTGCATGCTGCGTTGTCCCGCGACAACTACAACTGTCATATGTGTACAGGAAGGGTTTGAATTTCAGATCTCCATGGCATTAATTACACAAGTACCGATTACACTTGCACTATGGCTTGTTTATTTTATTTGAGTAAATCATGATATATAGTAAATATCAATGTATAGTTTCCAACAAAATGGTAAGCCGGGAACTTAGAGTGGACGACGATGTTGAAGAACGAACGAGACTGATGGAGACCTGAAGAACATACAATATAATATGATCGATCTTGGTTGACGGGTATGGGTATGGGTTTGGGTTGGGTAAGGTTTATCAATGTGGATTATGAGTTATGAAGGTGGACGTACAAGTTAATTAGTTACAACCTTGCTATAATTCAATGCGTCCCAAATTATAAAGAGATGAGATGGATGTTTATGGGCTATGGGGTACGTTACACATTATGTACGTACGAGATATGGGCCTCCAGTAGTCCACGTGGCTCGTGGGTGGACATTAATAGTCAGTGCATGTGGCGGGCTGATCGTCCAGCTACGTACACATACGTACATGTCCATTAATTACCGAATTAATCGGCCAGCCACCCACCTCTCTTCTAATTTCTAAACAGCAATTAGCAGCAGGAAATTAAAAAAAAAAAAAAAAATTGTTGTGCAGGAAGGAAGGTAGATGGTTTTTGGGGCGACAACCAAATCCCTTGACAGACGCCGACCACCCCTCCCCAGTCCCCTAGTTTCTTTCTTTCAAACCGATTGATTATACTTGCTTGTACGTACGATGTATGCAATAATATGAATTATTTTTTTTAATCGAGAGGAATACTATATATATATACTACCATCTAAGCTAATTACTCGGTTGCTGACGTACTATTTGTTACTTACATCTATCGGCTCAATTCATAATTATTATATTAATTAATTTGTAACCAACATTATTGTTGCCCTCCTTTTTCGTCCATTGAATCCAGCCAAACAGGCCACTCCCTTATGATTATTGTGATCTCTCTCTCTCTCTCTCTAGATCTCTGTGTGTGTGAGAGTGTTAATTAAGCACAACAGATCGATCCATGATGAATCCACAGTATAATTATAATACCATGCATCTCCATCAATTCATCTCTACTCACCAAGCCATTATTAATTATGTAAGTTTAAACTAAATCCGTGCTTGATCTCGATCAGGCGATCTTGTCTAGAAAAGTTTATTCC